CATTGCCTTCAGAGCCTTTTCGCCATAACCAACCAGCAAGGCATCCCGGCCGTGTTCCCCCATCCAGCGGCCGACTGGTAGATCAGAAAATCATCCTCGTAACCGCAGATAGTCGCGTCACATTTGACACGGTAACGCCACAACTAGCTACAGAATGAAGACGCTTACATTCAACATAACAAGTGACTCCAGGAAACTGTGGTTTCCGGATCGGAAGCTCTTAATGCTCCGTGCGTCTCAACACTTCTGCTTTCATACATCACGATTGGGTCAAAACATCTGCAGGACGTTCACCGCGACTGAGTGATAATTCACAATAGATTAGATGCACATGATAGTTTCATCAAGCATTTTTGCCAACTACCGCACATGCCATCCCGATCCCCTCTATTCCTATTGGTGTTATTTCTGCAGGAAACGCTTTTGCATGCGTGCCATATACTTTCAGCAAGTTTTAAAACCCGGCTCAAACATTCCCGCTAAACTGAGCTCTTCCACCGGCGGCCTGAGCGAGATGTTCTCCAGGTGATCGCAGAGCTAACGCTACAGTGTGGAAAGCCCAGTTAGACAAAGAGTCTGCGAGTTTAAGGATAAAAGCAGAGGGATCAGGGCAGCTTTTAAATGTACAGGAAAAACCGACAAAGGGCAGAAAACCAAATCAAATATTGGCCGATGCACCTTCCACTGACTCCGGTAGCTAAGATAACTTACATCAGCTATTTGTTACATCCCACTGTTGTTTTAGACACAAGGCACGATCTTCCAGGACAGATGAGCATTTACTCTGTGCTCTATTCATCTCCCTCGTCTGTATTGATTATGGAACCTTCCCTGTAAAACCCTCTGATTGGAGCGCTCTTTTTTTTTTTTTAAATAAGGCATCAGATTGGATTCCAGTAGGAAGTAATCAGAAATGCTGCATGGTGCTCAGAGATGACACGCTTCATAAGCGTCAGCATCCAGACATCGTGCTGGCAAATTTGCACAGAATCTGATACACGCATCAGTCGGCCAGCCGACCGTTATATGACACGCTTTCTGATTCAGAAAAATTACAGACACACTTGGAGACAGTTTTAACATCACGATAGTGGACAAATACGCTGTCTACTTTCTTCGCTGTGGCCGGAGTACCGTTACAAATGTTTGATTCCATGTCATGTTTTGGTACATTTTAGCTTAGCAACCCAGAACACAGAACAGAACAAGATTTTTCCAATTTTTCCTGAAAGCACCGCAGGCTGAACTGAGCGGAGAGGAATCACAGGCGAGCTGCACAAGAAAACAACCAACAGACACTGTGAACTGCCCGGCCGCGGCGGGTCGGCTCGGAATAATTTGACAGACCCCCTGCTGGGGTCTATCCGGTCCCGAAAGTGTCTCAGCACCGGCGCAGACGAGTTCTGGTTAAGAGCCTGGGAGCACGCAGCGGGCCTGCTGCATCTCCAGCCCCTTTGATTCCTTCCTCTTGTGAATCTCCCTCCCGCTGTCGTTTCGTGTTTTCTCCCCCCTCTCCTGTCTAATGATAAAGAAAATATTCATGGAGACTTTGGAAAGGAGCTACTGTGTAATTACTGTTTTTTTTTGGTGTATGTAAAAAGCGGGCTTTGCGTCTGACGATGCACCAGCAGCGTCACAATGGAGCAACCCGAAAGCAGCAAAAATAATAGAAACTTTTAAGTTTCCAAATTAGCCCTTGTAACCATTTCTTGTGTTTAATGATCGCGAAATGAAATGTGCAAAAGATGCTGTGGAAATTGTCAAAACTCAACGACTGGAACCTCTCATCACCATTTCTTCCCTCATTTGCCAACGTAAGTTTCAATTTGTTGGACATATTGAGCAGGATCAAACATTTTGTAGTCTTTGCATCCTTTTCTCAACGCTCGCTCCTTCTTCTTGTTGCGATGTCTGGTGAGCTCTGTGCAAACAAAGTCCTTCTGTTGGGTGAGAACAGGAAGAATCCCGGCTGAATTTTCATCAATATGCTATTTTTTTCCTTTTTAATTTTTCATTCACGTGGATGTCCATTAGGATCCTAATGTCAATCTGTTGGAAAACAAGAGGACCTCTCGAGGTTGCCGATTCATGTACTTATTACTGAGTAATTAAGCACAAGTGAATTCTGATTAACTTGAGCAGTTGTCAAGTGAGTGTGGGAGCTTGCACACTGCTGCTTATTTTCTCTGTCAGTTTATCAGCCTTCCAGCAGCTTATGACTGGGACTTACTGATGCTCAGTAATTCTCCATTAAATGGAAAAGCCTCGGCGGTATATATGCCATCATATGTTTGATCACGCCTGATAACTCAAGTGCAATGCAGTAAATTGCTTTCCCACACCACAAAAGGCTGGTGAAATAAAAAAATAAAGTTCAATGCTCTTGCTGAGCGAGAAGGAAGCAGAAATCCACCGAGGCCCCCCCCCCCTTGCCTTTTTTCATTTTAAGAACAAGTTGACGCTACACATCAAATACCCGCACATTCAGAACATCCCCCCCACTTCACCTCCTCAGCACCGAGTTCTCCGACACATTCCCTCTGCGGCGCCTGCTTCTGGTTTGAAGTGCTGACGGCCTGGAGAGGGCCGACGCGTCCTCGCCACTCAGGGGGCTCTTATCGGAGACGCGCAGCTGCAGACCGGACCAGGGTGCCGGCCTCCTGACCCGCCTCCTCAGACCAAACAGCGCCGGAGCGTTTTCATGTCAAAATGAATTACTCCTCTCTCTCTGTGTGCCGACGCAGGTGACGGGAGAGGAGTTGGCGTGTAGGGAAGACGGGCATTCGGTGTGTAAACACAAGTGTTGACAGCACGCTTCCTTCTCTGGGGGAGGGCGGGGGCAAGGGGGGGGGGGGGGGGGTATTCGGGCAGATCGAATGTCGACGCCATGGCGCGTCGGGAGGGTTTTGGGCCATGATGTGATACTGAAATAATCCCAACATGTAAGGTGGGAATTATTGGCGACTGAAAGCACGCAGTTACACAAGCTTGGAAATCAGAGCGATGGCCTCATTTAGATCCGAACCGACGGGTTTCCTGCCAAGGTGCAGAGTGAGTAAAGAAACCCGCCAACACTACTGGACGTCCATCATTTCATCATGGTGAAACTCGGCGGTAAAACATTCACAAGAAAATTGTGCCAATGCATGTTATAACAAACATATTTCCGTAGAAAAGCCGTATTTAAGCGTTAGGGTCCACCGCTGATCCTGATTTCTGTTGTTTAGCTTAAAGAGAAACTCGCGAGGAGGCCAAGTAGGTCGATGTGAAAGCCAACCTGTGTCTTAGCGTTTTATTTTTAGCACATCGTTACAGACAACCGGACGGATTCTGAGCACGGCTCAGTCCAATAACTCAATGAAGTGTCACTCAGGTTAAAAAAGAAAGAAATGAAAATCGAAATCACAGGAAACCAGACAAAAAACTGAAACTCCCTTTGGTCCAAAACGATTAAATCAGATCTCTCTGGTTGTCAGAACAAACTGCAGTGAATTCCATTTTCAAAGTGGACTCTTCCCTCGCCACATTATGCATTATTATAGCGTTTTCCTCTGCAATCATTCAGAGGTTAAACGGATTCAAATAAATCCATTGCCGCTGTTATAATTTGATGTTTGCTCACCGGCACCAATGACCACGTCATCGTTGTTGTTGTTGTGTTGTTTGGACACACAGCCAAACAAGTCACACACAGAGACACACGGCAGCACACTGCCATCATCTGGCAAAAGCAAAGACAAGTACAATCATTTGAGATATTCTGGAATGTTGCGGTGTTTCATTTGAAGCCTCCAAAACTCTTACTTGGGTTCATTTTTAACGAACATATACGGGAAAGTATTTGAAAGGAGGTAGTTGATATACGAGTAGAAGAAGGACTTTGATAGTTTTTGTGAGTAGCGTTACCTTAATTAGTAGTATTATTACTTTAGTTTATTATCTAAACAAGTATTTAAAGTTTGACTCAAATAATCATGAATAAAATGAGAATAAGACACTGCTCATCGCATATAAGGACATAAAACAATAAAGGTAAAACCCCCCAAAGTGTTTCAATTTATTTCAGGAGACAGACATTGCTACAATTTTTGGATTTTCGGTTTTGTGGGAGGAAGTTTTCACTGGCAAAAGTCTGGTTTAAAGTACACGTTAATAGAATGATGGGATCAAGTTTTTGTAATAATGGGTCAGATTTTCTTTATTTCCTTGAGGCACATGTTTGCCTCTGTGGGCTTTTGTGATACATAACATTTAAAGAGACTAAGCCGATGGTCCACCTATATGATCCACTTTATTTTGTGAATAGTGTTAAAGGGCATTTATGGTGGAAGAATCTAGTCACAGTTATTCAAATACTATTGTAAGTGTTTTCAATTGGTTCTACTTTAGACTTATAAATCACTGCATTCAGATTAAAATACTGCTATTTTAACTCCACGTTATTTACCGACAGTTTAAGCTGGTATGCGGATTGAGATTTTACATGTAGAAATATGATAAACCTCTTAAATATAATACATACTTAACTATAAAACAGTGGATAAAGTAACCGCCATCAGTTCTCTCGTGTGTAACTACGACCAGGGCCGATATTAAATGAATCATTAAATTATAATACATCACAAATAATAATCCAATGACATAAAACATATACCTGTACAATAATCATGGCATACTGTAATACAGTACATTTTATCAAATTTAAGATACACATTTCTTTTTCAATTCAGTGTAACAATCTACAATATAGAAAATGCTGATTGAGAATGCATGAGGGATAATAATCAAACGACGGGATAATAATCAAACGACACATATATATATATATATATATATACATATATATATATATACATATATATATATATACATACATACATACATACATACACCAGTATTACAATCACAGGGGGAATGTTACAAGTGACATTGCTCAAATACTCAACCGGTTTCGAAGACTTAATGTTGATCTTGATGTGTCGTGGCGGGGTCCCACCGCTAGATGGCGCCCCCGCTAGGACTCTGACCAATGGGGGGAGGAGGGAGGGGCTCCGTGTCGCCATTGACGTGCCGAGCCAAAACAAAGCAGCGAACGACAAGGCGAATGTCCACCAAGTGACACAGGGAAACGGGTAAGGACGCGCATCTACCTTAAAGATAACGACACGCGGGCCCGCTCGCGCTCGGCGTGTTCTATCCGTCACGGTGAGGTAACTGCGACGCCGCCGTTGATTTACTACGACACGGTTGATTAAATGTCAGGAGGACGACGACGACTGCGTTGAAATGCTCGTTTGTTAAAAACCGAGCGTCGCTTTCGGTGTGTCTGTGTGAGAGAAAGGAGGGTTTCTCCCCCCCCCCCGGTACGTCGTGTTCTCTCAACCGGGCTCGGACGCATAGCGGCGGCCTGTGACGTCGGCCTCTTTGCATGACAACGGTGTCGCTGGGCAACAACCAGCGGGGTGTCTCCTCCGACAGTTCGGTGTTGTCCCGGTGTCCCCGCGTTGTGGGACGACCGGTTAGTTCAGCCGCTGAGGCCTAGTGACACGGTACGACGTTCGGCCGGACTGCGGTGCATGCTGGGAGCAACCGGTGTTACACAACGCATGTCGTTTTATAACAGTAGACAAGTTTTTACATTGATTTAGATCTTGATCTAATGTAAAAACATTATTAAAATACTCCTGCTTTTTCCAGTCTTGATTAAATATGTATCGAGACATTTTCAGTAAAAGTTTGACAGTGTTTATAAAACTGGTGTGTGTCTGCTGCTGGTTTTGGTGAATATTGGTTGGATAACATTTGTTATAAAAATGATCAAGTGTAATACGTTGTGTAGACTATCTGGTAAAAATAATAACAATAAATAGTACGTTTTAGCAAGATAACCAGTAGATATAAAAGTCCTTATATTACAGCATGTTGTTATATGACTGAATTTTACATAGTGATGGATGATTTAATGTGTACATTACTGTTATGAGGAAAAGGTAAAGCTACTTTGAATAACTTTATAAACTGCAGAGAAATCAGTAATATAACATTCAACTGAAAAGTGAATTGGGGATGTGATGGAGTATGCAGTCAAATATAGTGAAAGTAGCATAACAACTTCCAGTTTTTGCTTCCTAAACTTCCACCTCGGTGCAATTCAGAGGATAATGTTGCAGCGGTTACTTGACTACATTAATTTCATTCGACGCATATAAGTACAAGTATAAATACGTTAATTTGAATGAAAATTATATAAATATAGCCAAACAGTGCTCTTTAAGCACCTCATTTATGAATATAATAGTGATCTCCAGTCCAGTCAGTGCTAAAGACCAACAGGTTCAATTATATTTCTTAAAAAGCCCTTGGTGACCTGGAAGTTGCAGACTGGGCAGTGGCCCTGAAGGTTATGCAAATATCATTAAGTGCTGTTGTATAAAAGAATAAAAAAGAACTGATCATTTCAGACGGATACTAATATAGTATTTCATCGCGTGCAGACAGCCGAAGCAATGGGGAAGTTTCACTCTCAGATGGCAAACCCCAAAGACGAGAGTCAGGACTCCTTGACGGCCTCCGGGGAGTACGGTGAGGACGAAGACAACGAGGGGGTCGGAAAGAACGGAGACGTGTCCCAGTTCCCCTACGTGGAGTTCACCGGGCGGGACAGCGTCACCTGCCCGACGTGTCAGGGCACCGGCAGGATCCCACGAGGTAACTCGTGCCTGTAGATGAGACGGTAGTCGTCTCTCAGCCGGCGTTACGTCTGTACGGAGAGCCCCCCACCCCCGCCCTCCGGCCTCATCTTCACACTATTGTCTAGTAAGTTACGTTATTTTTATTTAATTTCATTCAATTGTTGTACACAGGCCAGGAGAACCAGCTTGTGGCTCTGATTCCGTACAGCGACCAGAGGCTCAGGCCCAGCCGCACGTAAGTCTCCTTTCCCAAAGGCCAACGCACGGCATACTGACACACTTATAGAGTCCTCAGCTGATTTCAGGGTCTCACTTCCCGTTCCCCTGTCACGCAGAAAGCTGTATGTCACCATATCAGTGGCCCTTTGCCTGCTGCTGTCGGGCCTGGCGGTGTTCTTCCTGTTCCCTCGCTCCATTGATGTCTCCTATGTGGGAGTGAAGTCTGCCTACGTCTCCTATGACCTTGACAGACGGATCGTCTATCTCAATGTCACGGTAAGGCTCAGTCTGCACGAGCCCCCTTCCTCTAATGAAACCCTGTGGGACGGTGTGACGAGAGACTAAAATCAAGGTTTTTAAACATACCTTCTTGTATGGGGACGGATCGGCTCGTTGTGACTGATACACATCAAATAATTACTATAGAATTATTGCATTTTTCAGATGGTTGTTCTCTTTTTTCTGTTTTGAGCCGCAGCTCTGTAGACTTAAGTAAACATGAGCTTATGCTTCCAATCTCTAGTTTCAAGTCTTCTTCAACTCTGCATGATGTCCATTTAATAAATGATGGTCCATTCAGAGTCAAATAGACCTTAGTGCAGGTTCCGGTTTAGGGCGGGGCTACCTTGTGATTGACAGACATGCTGTTTGCAAACAGGTACTCCAAATTAAGTCAAATCTAAATTGTTGCTGCAGGTTTAAACGCTATATATTGGGGCCTTTTTTCCCCCCATCCAGCGCTCCTTTGCCTCAATCTCACCGCTTTTATCTTCATCCATCCAGAGCACTCTGAACATCACCAACAACAACTACTACACCGTATCTGTGACCAACATCACGGCCCAAGTGCAGTTCTCCAAGACTGTGATTGGCAAAGCCAAGCTCAACAACAGCTCTGTGATCAGCCCGCTGGACGAACGGCAGGTGGGTCGCCGTACATTTTACCGCTCTGCACCGGTACACATTCACGACATTATTTACGAGTTGAGAGAATGGACTTGAGTTATGGATGTGGCTCATCGTTGCACCCGATACCAAAGACACCTCGTCAGACTGAACTTAAAAGTGATTCAAATGGCTCCACAAAGTTCTAGGCTTCAAACACGGGATGAAACGGGCCTTCAAAGTCTGATGTGTCTTTAAATGATGTGAAAGCACAAATCTTGTTGCAGCTGCTCAGTCTTGGACCACTAATCAAACAAACACATACCAAAAGTGTGTTTTAAGTTAATGTCTAATCCTGTTTCTACTTCCGCGCTGCGCTCATTGCAGATTGACTACACTGTTCCCACCACCATTGCTGATGAGATGAGTTATATGTTGTGAGTATCTTTCTAGAAATTATACAAATATAGTGTTTACATGTTGAGCGTTTAAATGATGAATCCGTTCCTGTCTTACAGTGACTACTGCACCTTGCCGAGCATTAAGGTTCACAACATAGTGGTCATGATGCAGTAAGTGTTTAAAATGCTTTTTTTATTTTTACATCCCACATGCTTCACTTTAAACAGAATCCTACTCTACAGGATTTACTGTCATTTTTTATCTTTATCTTTCCTTTTCGTACATGAGCATCAATCCCACAACATCTCACCCACACATACTGAAGAGCTGCCCAGAGACACGTCAGTCCAACGGGGGGCACGCGGGCCTTTGGGTGCCCTGCTACACGTCAACTGTGGCACTCCAACAGATTGCGAATTTAGCAAATCAAACTAAGAAGCAGCTGATTCTGTCTAATACGCCTACTCCGGTTTTATCTAGACCACGATGCCTAAATAAATCAATCCAAAACGAGAAAAACCAAAAGCAAAATGATGGATGGATTTTGTTTTTTTGCCTCAGGGTGACGGTGACCACGTCGTACTTTGGCCACACCGAGCAGGTCTCCCAGGAGATGTACCAGTACGTGGACTGCGGGGGGAACACCACCTCCTTGCATGGCGGTGTGCAGGTCTACCAATGAAAGAAAGGCGGAGCAGCCACCGCTGTGAAGGAGGTTCTCGCGGAAAACACTGGGGGCTCGCTTCCAGGGAGCAAACCGTTGCTCGGTAACAACAGAATGATGGGAGGGACATAGCTTTTCTTAAACTAGTCAGTGGCTCATTCATTCCTAAATTTCTCCCTGCAGAGGTAAAATGTGATGAGCTTTTTTTAAAGGTTGGTAACCGGCCAAACTGATCGGCCAAAGCAGAATTTAGCAGGATCTGCCCTTGACCTTTATTCTAATTTGGTTATTAGAATAACCTGGTTAAACTGGTGCCAAAAAACAGACTTGATATTTTAGTATTCACCTCAACAATGCGTTTACATTGTCATTTATAAACCAGTAGCACTTTAACATGATCAATAAACGCAAATAATAATATGAATGTAGATTTTACCCCACTACTATATGCCACTTATAAAAGAATTAAAAAAAAACAAATTAAGTTCAAAAGGCAAACCCGCTGACCAGCTCTTTCCTTTCTCTTTTTATTGTGTTTCTCTTGATATTAGTGCAATATCGGTGAGGTTTATGACATTTGTTTTTTTGCTTCTCCATTTTTATTTTGAATATTGGTAATATTATTATTATCTATCGGTTTTGCGAGCTGTTATCATTCACCTGATAGATTGAATGGCAAATGTGGCTACTATGACGACAGCAGCGTGGTACCAGGAGGTTGTAAAATATATTTCAAAAAAGGGATGACCTTTTCTTTTTCATAGCAACTGTGTAAGCATTAGAGTTGGCTTTAAGATATAGAGGTGTAAATGTGTTTTCACCTTTTAATTAAGGTAATTTGATTTCTGTGTGTTTGCAATTTAACAACCTTGCTGTTGACTTGTGCTTTCAGGTTTTTAAAATAAGTAAGACTACATATTGTTAACTTTTGTTTGGGTCTTTTCAAAATGATCACTTAATGTACTTTGGTCTGACAGGAAAACACCCAAAACACATCTAATACGTTATTTCAGTTATTTCAGAGATTGCGTGGGTAAAATATAACGTTGTCATATCACAGGAGCTCCTCGTGGAACTCTTCCATTATTTCGCTTCCAGACAAAGTTATACGGAACCATTGATTCACGCATATAAAATAAACGGCATGGCGAAGGATTTGAATCAAGTCAAAAATACATTTCATGCTGAACGTCATCTACAGGACAGGCCACAGGAGTAAAATACTATACATAATAAACAGGCATAACGTTTTGACTTCTAATACCTTCTTGGTTGTATGTATTTCATGCATATATATATGCAATAAAAACATTTTGCATTGAAAGGTTTCTTCAATTTCCTTGTTATATTCTTTACACACACTGGGTGGCGCCGAGTGGTCCGCTTAACGACAGTGCCGTCACCTCGCCAAGGTTTCAGTGATGTTAAATTCAGTACTTTCCATCATGCTAAATGAAGTAAAATATTTAAAAAAACAAAAAAACAGTGATGGTTGCTGGATGATCGAATACAAAAAACAGCAGATATTTACACTAGAAAATTCAAACCAAGTGAAATATAGGACAAATGAATATTTAAATCAAATTATTTGGCAGCATTAATATCAAATTTTGCCTTGTATGGCAAAAACAAAAAAAACTTTTGCATGTGAATGTCTTAATCTGGTCCGGCTTTTAAACTCTGCAGTGGAGCCAGGAGCACAGGCGTCTGTTGCAAACATCAGCTCATTTCCTCACTGGTTTAGACTGGGATGCATACTGGGATGCATGAGGCCGACATACACAAGCAGTGAGCACCGTTCGTCAGTGCGCCAATGTACGATCTATTGGCATTAGCTTTTATCTTTTACTGTCAAGGTTTACTGCAACATATTCTGCTTCAGCATGTCTTTAAGAGATTCCTGACCAACATGATATTATTTTTAATATTAAACAATATATTGGCAGATATAATATTAACAGATTTGTTTTGATTAGAAACATCGTACTTGGCCATGATTCTGCATTTCTATTGTTATTTCCTCATGTCTTCTTGACATGCATTTGTTCTCTTTTTCGATATTCACATGGTTTTCACAAATACTTTCCCTGCTTTCCACTACATCTACTACAGCTGTGCATAATTTCAATAATCAATCAATAGCTCAAATGATGTCTACCACTGTTTTATTGAGGGCTGCTCAATCCTTTAGTCATTTTGGTCTTGTCCCTTTTTTAAAGCTACTAATTGAATCTCAGGGCGAGCTCTTTCTGCTCTGTCTTTCTGCCAAGAATACTTCCTGGTTCCTTTGAAAACTGGAAGTTCACATACAGAATGTTGTATCAACTATCATCGTAGGTTACGAAGGCTCCCGGCTTTAAATGGGATTTTTACGAGCAAGAGCACATATTTTCATATGGAAATCTGCTTTCCTGTGAGTCACAGCGCCACAACATCGGATATTGAGCTGGTTGTGTTATTTCCATTAAAGCAGACCTCCCCCCTGACCCATACATGCATGTGGACCCGGCACTTCACCCTGCCAAGTAAAAGGAAATGACTTTCCCACATGTCTCCTCCATGAACACACGTAAGTGTTGCTGTCTGAATATAATAACCTACTTGGCTCCACTGAACCGTAGTGCTGGGGAATGTCCAGTACAGGCAGATAACAGCAGGAGCACAAAACAGCATGTTGCAAAGTTTAATTTTGCCCATCTGTTGTAGGCTATGTAGACAGCAGATATCTTCGGGGATGGATACCGCAAAACCTGGATAAAATAAATATCCTATCTGCAATGCTTGATGTAAGGGAAAGAATTTTTCATTATGGGCTAAACTGACCCTGCAAAACTAAATGCACGTAACACGTCGTACTATAACCACTTCGACCAGAATATTGATACTATTTTCAAAAATAATAATAAACAATCTGTCTGTATACAATAGGTGTATTTCACTCCAATGTTTCCCTGTAAACAAATACAAAGTTTTTCTGTCTATTTGGTATCTTTAATAACTCTTAAAGTTAAAATGAATCTGGTTGTATTACAAAATATTTTATTGTGTTTACCTATCCTTGCTCAGCTGCATTGTCCTTTTTTTTTACTGTTTAACTAATTCAAGCTTAAACTGAAATTGTTAAGATGGATTTATTTTTGGACAAACGCATTAAACATTACTTTGTCAGAACAACGACTTCTGCTTAATGTTTTGAATCGAATCACGTGAGATTAAAATGCATATTACCTAAGATACAATTACAAAACCCTTTAAAAAAACATTTACGTGGCCTTTTAAACCAGATCTGAAGTCAACGAACGATTCTCTAATGACGTCACGTTAAGGGTAATGTAGCTTAGCTAACGTCGGCTAACTTAGCTAAAAAGCTAACGTTACCTTTCAACTTCGAGAAAAAAAGTGGAAAGTTCTCTCTAGCGTAGCGACTAATGTGTATATAGATACAATGTATATACTGTATATATATATATAGGTATATATTTCCACCCACCCACTACTTTTGCGCGTGTGGCGGCCTCATTCTAAAACTCACCACCCATCCAAGTCGTCCAAGTCCGCCGGCCCCGGTCTCCTCCTCGCCCCGCCCCTGCGCGGCTCCCTGCGTTGATCAACGGCCTTCGGAGGCGGGGAACGAAGTCCCGCTACTTTCTCCTCCATCTCCGTGGACCGAACCGCCCGTCTGCTGCTTTCCCCTCTCTCGGTCTCTCTCTCTCTCCCTTACAAAAAACATGGGCGTCGTGGGCCTCGCGTCGGCCGTGCTGTTGGCCGCCTCCGTCGCCCTGTGCTCCGCCGGGCGCGCGGACGCACCGCGGGGAGTCGCGGTCGGCTTCGTGTTTGACCCGAAGGCGAAGTGCGACCCGCAGTGCGACCACGGAGGCATCTGCATCCGCAACGGCACATGCTTCTGCTCCAAGGGCTACGAGGGAGAGACCTGCCAGTATGGTGATGTTACACACCGTGTTTCTCTTCTTCTTCCGTTGCGTTTGCTGTATAAACACACGTTTGTTTTCCAGACGTCAGTAAGAAATGTACAATAGGCTCTAGTATGTTGCACCCTGTAGATAAATTAGAGCTTGTTCATATTTGGGCATAATACAATGACTGCCTTGAGTCATAATTAAGTGGAATGTAATATGCAAATGCACCAAAAATGCATAAATAATTTTTAATGTTTAAAACATTACGCTCAACTCCTCTTCTTTCCCTTCTTACGTTTGCAGTTATCAAAGATATAACCTCTCCATCAAGAGTAATTTCAAAATGTTGTGTGTTCTTGCATGAATGTAAAATACAGCCAACTGTTATCCCAAATGTAAGAACGGAGGAGCATGCCTTCGCCCTGGAAAGTGCAGATGTCCTCCGGGATTTGGAGGCAGATACTGTCACAAAGGTAAGGCCTGGTTTCTTGCGTGGTTCGGCAGAATCTGAAAGCGATCTTGTTTTCAAGTCAGTAAGGAAATCCGTCTTAATGCATATCGGTACATTTCGACACACAGCTGTCCCTTTCATCAGACACACACCAGATTCCTTCTGACCTCCAGTCGAAAACTAGAGCAGCTCCATTTGTCCCCCCCAGTAACAGAACTTCAGCAGTTGTTCACTAAGCTTTTTAAAGTTGGTTATATTATATTTTCCAGGGGAAAAATGTAAATAACGAGCATTTAGAGCCTATATTTTTTTTTACAGATACATTTCATGACTCCCCAAAAAAGACACAAATCATGTTTATTAACCAGTATTTCTTTAATTCTCCCAGATTTCTAGTGAATTACTGGAGAATTAAACTAATCAAGCTCCCATAAATAAAAGAAACCGCTGGTAGGCAACTAGTGACCAGGCGTCCTCAGTACTCTCCAAGTAGGAATAGAAATTTTGAATTTTAAAGGGGTCAAAAGCAAAAAGAAACTATTTAAAGAATATATTCAACTGGCGGTTAAATAAATAAACCATGTTTTTTTCCCCCTATTGATTAGAAATCGTGTCCATGTCATGTATGTACGTGTAAAACCGCGTGGTCCGTGTGTGTCCTTTGGCAGTGACGTGTGACGGGGGATGCTGGAACGGAGGAGAATGCATCGCTGTCAACGGAGCGGCCAAGTGCATCTGCCCCTCCAGCTGGGCCGGCTCCAAATGCCAGGAGGGTCGGTTCATGGCTGTTTCTAATCAGTCTTTTAACACCAAATGTCAAAATCCCCAAATGGAGCCGGTCTCTACGCTGGGAGCCGCTGACCAGCAGCCCGCCTGCCAAAACATTTTATCAGCAATTCATCCAATTTAGGGGTTTATCAATGGCCTTTCAATTGACTGCTTGTGAATGGCGGCTCTTGGCAGTAAATTGGACTTCACAGATTTCTCGGAATTGTATCAAATGAGATAACTGTTGGTAAATTGGAGAAGCAAAAAAAAACTCCCAGCTCAAATGTGTTTACTCGCTCTTTTGCGCAGTTAAATAAGAAGATCGATTCCACTGTAGGCCTAATACTGAGCTACAGCTTGCAGCCTGTTAGCTTAGCATGACAAATAAAACAGCTGGCATGACCACAGTTCATTGTTTTAATGCCTCAGTTTTTAAACAGATTACACAAACAAGATGTAAAATAGGTGTTTCCCCTTTATTCCGGTCTTCACGCTAAGCTAAGCCAAGCTAATTTGCACTTAACCATTCCGCTAATGTAATTCCTGCATCCAAAGCATGTTTCCACCTCCAGTACATTTGATTTATGTAAAAGCTGAAGCTCAGATTTGTTCTCTGGGATGCTAAGAATGTCTTTTCCGTGGTTTGTCCTCCTGGCAGCGATCTGTCCCCAAGGCTGTAGGAACGGGGGGATCTGCGTGGCTCCAGGAATCTGCAGCTGTCCGGAGGGATGGCTGGGTGGTGCCTGCCACACTGGTGAGTTTCAGACCGGTACCAGAGACCAACAGCTTCCGCATGCATCAAGTGCACGTTTATAAGCATGATTCCTTTTTCAGTATTTCGCTTAGCTTGTCCGAGGTTTTGCTCCTGTTCCGTTTGGGTTGTGCTTTCACACGCTCCCTGTAAACTGTCTACATCTTAAAGAGAAGATGCCAATAGACCAATCTGCCAAACAGCTGAGAATGAAATATATATATATATATATCTCAGATGTTTCTGCTGAGGCAAAGTTTTCCGTGTTTTTCCAGATGTGTGAGACGTGGAAACGCTTCTCACCAGTTTCTGGATTTGTGTTCAGATTCACAAGCTCATCAGTCATTTATTTCTTTCACTTTAGCTTTAACAATTTATTAATTCTGTCTTTGTTCTCTTTGGTTTGTTTTCATATTGTCTATAGCTGTGTGCGCTCAGTCCTGCCTGAATGGAGGGAAGTGCATCTCTCCAGACAAATGCCGCTGTCGCCCCCCTTTCTCTGGCCCTCGCTGTGAGGAGAGGAAGAAGTCCCACTAGGGCTGGGGTCAAAGGTCAATGAGGCCCAATCAGGGACGTCATGCTGATGAGGACATTTCTTATGTATTTCTTTTTAAAGAAACCTTGAACCTGTGTAACGTTCTCATTTGGTTGTGTAAACCCGTACTGTAATTTGTGCCATGAAATGAATAAAAGTGAATTGCATTAATTATCAAAGGACATTTTCTTTATTCTTTTAAATGTAACTTGTACAACAGTGTCATCTGGTGTCAGTTCTTTTTTTATATAAAACAAAATGCTAGATATAACAAACGGGATCATTACTTTAACAATCAAAACATATATTAATAAAAGCAAAAAACTCAATTACAATGTTAATTGCTGCGTATGACATTGTATTTAATCTGTGGGAAGTTAATGATGTGTACCATCAAAATTAGCCTTAACTTATATAGTATCCTTGCATTTATTTTCTCACAAGTGAACAACAGCGTGCATCAGTTCTGTAAAAAGGCTTTAATTTGGCTTAATGGTGAAAAAACTAAAACTAAAAGCTTGCTGGCAAATAAATCACCACTGCAACAGAACAGATTTGTCACTTTACTTATTTTACATACTAGTGTGCAGTAACACTCACACATCTGTCAAAAGCCTCTGCTGATGCATTCACCAGATGTGTGTAACAGTGAGCCTTGAGGTAGTGATATACCGGCACAGACAAGTATACATACATCAAGTCCCTCTGTTAGCCTTCAAATGTTCACAAAGCCACACACATCAACCAACACGCACACACACAACTCACAATGCTCTCTTCCTGCTTCGTGCATTTCGTAGCTTCTGCCGACCCGTCCTCTCATTTCTTCCCCATCACGCTTGCAACGCCTGTAAAGGTGCAAACATAACTTCATCCCAATTACATTTCACATTTTTCAATATTTCGATCATCTTTTTTGATGCCTGAACAGAAGTCAGTGCACCTCGTGTTTTAGCGTCACATTGGAGTCGCGCAGCTGAGCGTCCTTCCCTCCAAAGACGTTTTAGAAAACCCAGGAGGTCATTTAACATCACTCAGCGCGGCTCTGAAGCTATTTCCACAATCCTAGAGGACTAATAATCATATTTCTTTCATATATCTTTCATCAAAATAAATGTATACGTGGAAGAATGCTATTTAACATTGAACATCATGTAGCAGCTGAAAGCTGTTTGTTGTGTAAAGACATGGATGGAGGGGTAACGTCATTTTCTCGATGAGAAGCGGGTTAGAAGTGGGAACACGGCGCTGACCTTCAGTGCGCAGGTGAGGCCGTTGTAGCCTCTCCGGCAGTGGCAGTAGTCGGGGAGGACGCACCTCCCTCCGTTCAGGCACCGCTGTTTGCACACCGCTGGGGGAGGAATCGAAATGACAGGACACCTGTGATTACATGAACCAAAAGGAGAAAATGCACTGATCTGTTTCTTCCTCCCCCCCGCGTTGTGTTATTATGAATGAACTCACGGGTTTGACATTGGAGACCCCCCCAGCCGGAGGGACAGTGACAGGTGTTCGGCCCCAAACACTCACCGCCGTTTTTACACTTCTGCAGGCAGACGGCTGCAGGGAGAAGAGCAGAGATGGAGGCTTGAATACAGGCTGCAGCAGCCGGATTCTATGAACAAATCTACCCACAATGCATCCCTGTCACGACCTCAGTACAGTGACGAGACCTGGACGATAAGTTTTTACAAAGTGACCCACTCCGAGCTCCACCAGTCAAATGCTTTCCTCTCAAAAGGGTTTAGTAAGGGGGCCTCACAGGTGCAACAATTAACTGGTAATGTTTGAATAAAAGTTGAAGACAAATCGTCTACGCGTCTAAATCACAGCCAGTGAGGATTTCTAAGCGCCCACGAGCCAATAATCCTCTGAACTGGAAGCCTCTTTCATTTGATGTATTTCCTGTTTTATGGTGGGACACAAGACCATTTCAGAGTATGTTTAGCTGTTTTTGCGGTTTTGACATGAAGGCAAAAGGAATTGAAAGAAAGTATTGTGTGTATTATGGCAAATAGAGTGGAGTATGGATGTTGGTTTTTAGTAACGTCTTCCTGTGGTTTAAGCATATTTTTTTGCTGCTACCCTATTAACTAACATTTCCGATTTCAACATTTGTGGAAAATGAGATGATTTCCCCGTCCCGTAAAGTGTGTTAACCCCTTCCTCTCAAACCCTAACGAGACCCCCAAGAAATGTTAACAAATGCCGAGCGAGTACACGACACCGCTGCACGATCGCTACATCGCCTGTGATGTATTTGCCGCCTGTGAATAAAACACGGTCACTCACGTATGTTGCACCTCTTCCCTCTCCATCCGGACGCACAGGAGCACGTGTGAGGTCCCACACATTTGCCTCGGTTCATGCACATTGGCTCACACACACCTGGAACACATCGGATGATACAGATAGATAGATTAACATCTGGAGACGCGCAAGGTGTCACTCACAGATAAGTGATCGTACTCACTCTTTTGACACCTTTTCCCCGTGTAGCCTTCAGGGCACGAGCACACGTTGTTCCTCATGCACTGACCCCCGTTCTTACAAGGAGGACTGCACACAGCTGAGGAACACAGTACAACCAAACCGTAAACATGTCAGAGGGATCATAAGAAGGTCAATCAGAGACTCTAACACCGACATATCCTCCAACCTCTTGATTATTTTGTCATTGCGAATGGCCTACAGTTGGTGAGGTAAAAACGTGATATGATCAATGGATAATCAGCACGTTTTCAGTGAAAATAAAGTTTGCATCAAAAGTGCAGAAATCCCTTGCAATTATCCTTCTTAAAATATGTCCTTCCTGCAGCAAAAAAACATAAAAACCAACAAAAGGAATAAAAACATTGTTGTCACCGAAACACTCCATTGAAACCCCGACTAAAGTTGCAGTTTTGTGCCTCACAGTGAATAAATGTTGAAGGGAACACAATGTCTCTCAGGACCTTTGTGATATCAGACCTGTCAGGTTGTAGTTTACATCCAGATCCGTCGCACATGTCACGACCCAATCGTTTTATCCTTGTTAGCGTATGAATTATTGAGTTACAGCCCCACGGGTTAAAAAGGTCGTCATGACCTCTTTAAACATATAAATAAATATAAATAAATTCTAAATCGGTTCATCCTCCTTCCTGGTGCTTCTGAGATTTATCAATAAAAGTAAGTCTCGTTGTGTAAAAGAACCTCCTCAAAGATCCAATTCCACCAATGGAATAAAACGTGTCGCTGTGATAAATATTCCTTTTTTTACCGATCTGACACTGAGAGCCGTAGAAGCCGCCGGGACAGGCGCAGATGTTGGGCTTCGTGCACGCTCCTCCATTCAGACAGACGGGGTCGCAGTGGGCTGCAGGAGGCAAAGCGGCCGTATTCAGATTCTCACACCTTCAATGTTTTGCATCTCAAGCTTTCTTTTTCTCCAGCCTACGGCGGAGAAAAGCCTGCACGCCGTACGATTGACTGTCCGGTCGGATGCGTGAAATATTACACGCTGAGCGGTTTGGGCGCAGCGTTGTACCTGAGTTGCACGTTGGTCCGTACCAGCCGGGTTTGCACTTGCAGACATCCGGAGAAACGCACTCGCCTCCGTTTTCACAGTGCCTGTTACACACCACTGAAACGGACACATGATCAGAGAATTTTGAAAATGACTTTGAAGCTGGTGTAGACGTGCGCCAGGCGGCCATGAGCGCCATTATTTTGGTAACTTTGAACGAAAAGTTGAAAAAGTAAATGAGCTGAAGGTCAAACTTGAAGGAAAACAAATCGGCTTACTGGTATTCTGAAGGGTGCAAATACACATATCACATATCTCGTTTGTCTAAAAACTAAAATCGAATAAATCCCCCGGCGACCCTCCCACACCGGCCCCTTGAAACACGCATGGTGGACACATCAGACACCATTTCACCCGCTCAAAGCGCTCAAGTTGATCTCACTGATTTCACATCTGGGTCCCACGTAGCCGTAGGGACACGTGCACAGGTTCCTGGCCAGACAGGTGCCTCCGTGTCGACAGGGCGGCTCGCAGCTCGCTGACAAACAAAAACAACGCAGGGATCCGGATCGTACCACGTCATAGGATTATTCTGCGGCATGTCAGACATATATGTGAACATGAGCTGGGGTTTACCTTCCTCACAGGTGGGCCCCCCGTAGCCTGCGGCACATTCACACACGCCGGGCTGCACACACTTCCCCTGGTTCTTGCAGTCGGGTCGGCACACGGCTGAAATTGAAACAAAGCTGTACTTCTGCTCAATGACAAACACGTAAGAACTCTGACTAAATGGTTTCCGCTCTCACCAATGTGGCAGCTGTAGCCGGTGTAGCCCTCCTTGCAGGCGCAGGTGTTGGGCAGCGTGCACTCCATGTTCCTCCCACACTGGTACCTGCACACAGCTGAAATCAAATCCGGAGTTCACGCCAAGAAATCCACTCACGGTGAGGAGGAAATGCCACTCCAATGGGTCAGTAAAGCACCTTTACATGCGACCCCGTCCCCGGTGTAGCCGTACGGACAGCGGCCACACCTGAAGGAGCCGGTGATGGTGGGCTCACAGGGAGCGCCGGGGAAGCAGGGGGAGTCGGCGCATGTCGGTGACGACCCCCATTTGCCCCCCAAGGGGGGCAGGTCGGGGGTCAGGTCGGGGGTCAGGCCGGGGTACAGCTCCGCCCCCGCTGGGACGCCAGTTGACAAAACTCTCCCGGCACTGGGGATGGCGGCCTCTGGTCTGGTACGCCTCTCAGCGGGTCGTCTGGGAGACGATGGAGAGGGCGGAGAGGACGAAGGGGAGGTGGGAGTCGTTTCTTTGCCGGAACTTGATTTGGTGATGAAAATATGACCGTCAGCGCCGCTGGCGACTGTAAAATACGGGCAGTTAGAGGACAGGACTTAACGAACACAAATATATTTCAACATTAAAAGAGAGAGAGAGAGAGAGAGAGAGATAGCAGTGAAGGTTTTGGACCCGCCCACTCACACAGCATTTGGGATAATAATAAATAAAATTAAATGGAGTATGTATAAATATACAGGCAAAGCATTTTCAGCTGGATTCATGGCATGCACTTGTTGTATAAATAAATCTACTAATATTATTATTAGTCTGACAATTATTTTATTATTATATTATTGCCATGACTGGATAGACATGACAAAATACATAACTTAATGAGAATGTTGTATATCTATTTACTCCTGTTGAAATTTCAATTTAGATTTAAAAAAAAGTTGTAAAATTTAAAACAACCATTGTCACATAATACAATATAAATATATGCTGTATGTATATATTCCCTCTCACCTGTCGCTGTGCACGTTCGCCCGTTTCCATGGAGACCAGTGGGGCACGGTCCGCAGACGAAGCCCGCCGAGACGTGCGTGCTCTCAAAACAATGGACCCCCGGGTGACACGGTCGACTGGAGCAAGGCGACGAGCCCGAGGGTCTGGGCCTCGGGGGAGCCTGCGGTACCCGAGCTGCAGAGGTCATCGCTTTGACCGGAGGGTCGACCACATTGATGGAAGGAACAAACAGGAATTTGCCAATTCCATAGGAATAGAAATCAATAGGAATACCTATCCTTGAGCTGCGGCTGATTAGCGTTCGATCGCCCTTATTTAAAGGGACAGTGCTGAAATCTAATCATTAATTATCCAGCACTTACGTGTGCATATTTTCCCGTCTCCTCTGTATCCTTGAGGGCAGATTCCACAGACGAAGGAGCCAAACGTATTGTTACATCCCACTCCGGGGAAACAAGGCCGAGAGACGCACTCGTCCATGTCTTCTCTACATGTATGACCTGAAAGCACACAGAACAACGCCGCTTAGCTGAAAAAAACAACTATGAACAGGGAAAGATGTGTTAGACACATTTGTTATATACTCTGTTCGGTGCAAAAGAAAGGGGCAATTCGTTTGATTCAACTAAAGTGCAGTGTGACCGTGATTTAAGAATTGCTCACACTACATTTTTGGCTTCTAGCTTGTTATTAAGAGGTCTAAAAAGGGAAATGTAGTTCTTCTTCAACCAATTTCTTAGTTGAGTTGTTACAGGTGATCGTTACAGGTAGCAGAGATCTGGGGATTACATGCCACTATCTTGTTATTCTTGATAATTGCTGCTTCAACGGTTCAGAAGCATCCAGCTGGCACGTCTTCGCGTCTCTCTTTTCTGTGCACTTGCAAGGAAACTAATGAAGCGATCGCCTCAACTTCAAAAACAAGATGCAGGTTGTAAGATAAAAAAAAAACTTCACACATCCCTCGACGCCCGCTTCAAAGTGCGGCCCTGCAGACTCAGATCTACCGAGTCTTCTGAGCCTTCTACTTCTGGGTGGTCTGAAGGAAACACCTCGGCACGTCGCCGCCCACCTGTCATCCCAGCGGGGCAGACACAGGAGAAGGAGTCGGGTCCGTCAATGCAGCGGCCCAGCCTGCAGGGGTTGGGCTTGCAGTCGTCGACGTCCACCTCGCACCGCTCCCCTTTAAATCCATCCGGACACGCGCACAGGTGCTCTCCGCTGCCGCGGGGGAGGTCGCCGTTGGTCACACAGGTGGCTCCGTTCAGACACTCACACGGGCGCACTGACACCTGAGGAAGAGGGGGGGGAAGAAACAGAATAATCACACCTGCAAAAAAAACACGAAACATGCAAAGAAAGGAAGTAGTGGTGGCATTAATAGGAATCAAATACACAATTAAATACATAAAAATACAGTTTTACATTTGTGTTTTCTGAGATGTTTTTGTTTGCAACTGAAAGCAACTCATTTATTTCCTGTGCACAGGAAACATCCATCAACACGAAACTAATGTGAAACTAAGTGATTTAATTTTACACAACATGCTCAGAATTACTGCGTAGACAACCTCACACCGTGGGCGCCCTCTAGTGGGGGGAAGAAGCCAAGCTTCTGTATTCATTGAGATCCAAAGGCTGTGGGCCCCTCACTCATCTTAAATGACTTACACAGGTGTTCATGTGAATATGAAACAAAAGGCAAAACATCTAGAGAAATATTTACCAAGATAATTATATTTAAAGAATGATTGATTAGAGGAAAGAGGAGGAAAGACCTTTGAAGTGTATTTATTTATTATTTTATTGACACTTGCTGTTTATTGTTTACTTAGTGGGCGAGAATCTGTGAAGCAAGGAGCATTCAGCTCACAGCATGTGCATTACCTGTACAGAGGTTACCTGTACGGAGGTTACCTGTTTGAGGTTACCTGGGCTGAGGTTACTTGTACGGAGGTTAGCTATGCGAGGTTACCTGTGCGAGGTTACCTGTGCTGAGGTTACCTGTGCGAGGTTACCTGTGCGAGGTTACCTGTACGGAGGTTACCTGTGCGAGGTTACCTGTGCTGAGGTTACCTGTTTGAGGTTACCTGTGCGAGGTTACCTGTGCTGAGGTTACTTGTACGGAGGTTAGCTATGCGAGGTTACCTGTGCTGAGGTTACCTGTGCGAGGTTACCTGTGCTGAGGTTACCTGTGCTGAGGTTTCCTGTGCGAGGTTACCTGTGCAAGGTTACCTGTGCTGAGGTTACCTGTGCTGAGGTTACCTGTGCTGAGGTTACCTGTGCTGAGGTTTCCTGTGCGAGGTTACCTGTGCGAGGTTACCTGTGCTGAGGTTACCTGTGCTGAGGTTACCTGTGCTGAGGTTACCTGTGCAAGGTTACCTGTGCTGAGGTTACCTGTGCTGAGGTTACCTGTGCGAGGTTACCTGTGCTGAGGTTACCTGTGCTGAGGTTACCTGTGCTGAGGTTTCCTGTACGGAGGTTACCTGTGCGAGGTTACCTGTGCTGAGGTTACCTGTGCTGAGGTTACCTGTGCTGAGGTTTCCTGTGCAAGGTTACCTGTGCTGAGGTTACCTGTGCTGAGGTTTCCTGTGCTGAGGTTTCCTGTGCTGAGGTTTCCTGTGCTGAGGTTTCCTGTGCGAGGTTACCTGTGCTGAGGTTACCTGTGCTGAGGTTTCCTGTGCAAGGTTACCTGTGCAAGGTTACCTGTGCAAGGTTACCTGTGCTGAGGTTTCCTGTGCTGAGGTTTCCTGTGCTGAGGTTTCCTGTGCTGAGGTTACCTGTGCGAGGATACCTGTGCTGAGGTTTCCTGTGCGAGGATACCTGTGCTGAGGTTTCCTGTGCGAGGTTACCTGTGCTGAGGTTACCTGTACGGAGGCTCTGGTTTCAGCTCCACAGCTGTCCGTCACCGTGAAGCGGAAGGTGGGAGCGTCCGTAGCTTCAGCTGAGGTCTTCCACGCCAACAGGCCGGCCGGAGACAGAGACGCGCCCTCGGGACCCGACTCCAGGGTGAAGAGCACCACTGAGCCCTCGGGGTCCCGGGCCTGTAGCTGGTAGACGAAACTCTCTCCCTGGAAGGACTGCAGGCGAAGCGGCAACGACTGGAGCTGTGGAGGCTTGTTCTCTGAGGGGAAACAGGGAGGAGGTGGGAGACTGTGGGTGAGACGGTTCTCCCTCTGCAGGCCCAATTTGTCTTACACTCAAACATAAAAGATAAGAATTCTTCTGACAGGACTATCTTCTGATTTAAGCTAATCAATAATGTGTCTACATCGGCTCGTGAATTAAAGTAGAGTCAAAGCAAACAAATACATTATATCACAGACTAAAAATGAATATATTGTTTATAACGCAGCTTTTCTGCTACCATACTTTCATTAAAGCTCTCCATTTTGTTAGCCTTATTTTTCTCATCATAATGGTATTTTTTGTTGATACTATCATATTGCATTTATTCAAAAGGGACCAGTGGAGAGTTTACTGGTAATAACATGAGAGAGACAATGTGATGTGCATATTTTCTGTGTTCTGATCATCTGATTTCAAAGTGTCAATAATTGACGTTATTTGCTGTTTTCAATGTTAATTTTCCACATGTGACATACCCACGGTCAGTGCACGTATTGGTTGAAACCAATTTAAAGAATGCATTATATATTAATACTTAATTGCTGTTTTTAAACACTAAAATATCAACGTCAGCATTAAAATTAAAATGCTCCAAAATACTAGACTGCGCGTTCGAATTGGAATGTTGACAATCGTTACAAAAAGCCCTGAACCGCTTCATTCTACCAAGCTTTTCTTTTTAAATCTCACATAGTACAAGGCCGTCCAGGCTGATGACATTAAACATGTACGTACTCTCCGCTATGGACCACGTGTGTTTGGACGAGTCTGGGCGACATGCGAGGCAGGCGCTGCTGGGACTGGACTCGCCCTCGCTGTAGCACAGGCCGTCAATGCTGCAGGTTCTTTCCTGGGAAACAAAGACCATAAATAACAAAACAATCACGTTCAGTGTTGATCGTTGATATATGTTGGCTTTGGCTTTTTCCCTTTAAGACTGAGCTGAAAATATGTGTTATATAAAAATATTAATAAGAATAAAATAAAGCAAGAGAAAAAAAATGCTGTGAAAATATGATTAATTTCTTTACCGTTTAATCTTATCTCATTTATAACTTATTCACTTATTCATTGTATTTTTAACCGTGTTCTGGACAAACTGACACAGAAGTTACTGACAGAAGTTAAGACAGTTAGAGGACGAAGGAAAAAGCCTGGAGTTGCTGCTACGTTTGGTTCCCTGTCTTAAATGAAATATCACTGTGAAGACAGCCGTCTCACCCTCAGGGTGCAGAGGACTGGAGTGTGGAGGCTGCAGATCTGGCAGGCTCCGTCGTAGAGAGTCAGTATCTTGGCGTTACTGAAGCTGTAGCCGTCATTGGAAACCTGCCGTCAGCAGAAGCTTGATTACCGTGGATCGCTGGGAAAAGGCGTCCAACGGAGCATTTGAACGACATGCTGGTCCTCCTCATTGAAAAATGTTCTCAACCGAAGCGGCGTCCAAACACCAGTAAACATTTACATCTGTCTGCGTCTCATTACTGCAAGTGCAGGTTCACTGTGTGATCTCACATGGGGAGTTTTTGAGATAGTGAAATAAAAACCTGCAAAATAATAGTAGAATTGTCAAGAAGGGCCAACGGTGACCACAGCGGAAAGAAAGTAGAAATAAGAGCTCGGTGAGATAAACCAGAGTAAGAGGCCCATACTACCGGCTTGGGATGGATATTTCTTTACAGCGGAAGAGCAGACGTGACTAACTTTGATCTGCCAGCGAGCCAGCGGTCTGTCCGTCTCCGTCTCCGGCTGCGGGCCTGCAGGAGTCCGGCTGTCGTCAGGGGGGAGCCGGCACTCCAGAGCCGTCACGTCCAGGAAGACGGCCGGGACGAACCGCGGCTCGTCCAGAAGCCAGGCCCCGTCCTCAAACTGGCAAACGGGTAAAAAGAGAGAAAGAGAGGGAGAGAGAGAGAGACCAATCCAAATGACAATGAATTAAGTAAACAATGTTTACTTAATTTAAGGTCACATACATACACAAACATCATGTTCATTTCAAAATCAGGTGACAAGCCAAGAACGCACACAGAAGAAGAAGAAGCGCAAAGCACGTATACCTTTTCTTTGACAAACTCACACTTGAGCTCGTAGGAGTCCTTGAAGCCTTGGCCGTGGACCCGGAGAGGGGAGCAGTCTCCCTGCCGCACGTCGCACAGACCCTCCTTCTCCAGCTCGGTTATCTCTGGGATCTGGTCTTCACAACGTCAACAGCAAAATCAGCCTTTTACAATTAGGATTCACAACCGACATGGCAGCAACAAGCGCCGGCTTCAGTGTGTTACCAGAAAGCACGCCGCAGTCATAAGACCCGAATCCCGGGAAGCAGACGCAGCCCCGCTCCGAGCACTGGCCGTTGCCGTTGCACAGGTCGGGACACCTGAGGACAGCCAGAACGTCCTGGTACTCCGTCCCTCCACCCCTCTCCTCCGTCAGCCTCCTCTCGCACTCGTTTTCCAGCAGCGGCACGGCGGCGTTCAGCCACGACTGCTCGTCCTTCAGCCGCAGGTCGGCGACGCACATGGCCTCCGCGCGGGAGATTATCGACTGGTCCAAGAGGCTCCGGCAGCCCAATGCTACGCCCGAGCCCGCCACGGCCTGTCGGCACTGGGTGCCGGCCCGCCGCTCCGTCAGGCCGGAAGGTGTGGGCCACTTGGGGAAGGCGTCGGGTGGAGCCGCTGCTTCGTGGTCCTCTGGGAAAAAGTAGGTGAAGGCCTCCAGGTCGGACTGGCTGAGGCTCTGGTGCGTGGAGTCCGAAACGTACTGCTGGGTCCGGCGCTGGCTGCCAGCTCCATCACCTCCGCCCCCTCCGGAGCGACCCGGAGGCAGCGGCTGTCTTTCGCCCTTGAGCAGCTCCACCGAGCCGATGTACTCCGCCGTGACGTCCAGGGCGGGGATGACGCTGGGGAGGCGCACGTTGCCGTGAGGTGAGCAGGTTGAGTCGGAGGAGGAGGTGACGGGTTGAGAGGAGCGGCCTCTGGGCGAGGAGAGTCGGGGCCCGGCCCGACAGTCGCAGTGCTGGCGGGGGCTCAGCGCGCTCAGGTGGGACGGCTTGGTGTCGAACAGGCTGCCGCCCGGGGGGAGCCTTACAGAGGAGATGGCAGTAAGGAGAAACCAGTTAGATAGGGGTGGGGTTTTTGCATGGCCTGACAGGGGCCCCCCAAAAAAATCACATGGTGGTCCTTTGTGGGCCCTGGGATCTGGTTTCAAGGTCATGGCGCCTGGTTGGTAATCCAGCCTTGGCGCTTTTGTGTATACAAGAAAAAAAGGATACTAAAGACCTCCAAAAGAAAATAAATTATTCTTAAGCAATGGATGCTGTTGGTTTTAAATGAGATCGGAGCCATTTCTCATTATGAAAAACGCCCACTCACCTCCATTCAGAAATAAAAGTGGGCAGGTGCTCCACTGTGGCGCCCCCTGCTGTGTGGAGCTCGTTGTCCAACCGCCCGTCGAAGGTCCCGCAGAGGCCCTCGGTGTGGCCCCGGTCCGAGCCGGGGGCCCTCAGCGTCAGACTCATTCCCCAGTCCGACACGTCGGCGCGGACGAACGCCCCCGACGAGAAGGTCATCTGCCCGGCGGGCGAGGACGACGGCATGAAGGCAGAGAGCATCCGGCTACATTCCACAGGTCACATTTCGTGTGCATAGAGATTATTTATCATGAAGGGTACGTAAGCCGCACGGAGCTCCCCGCTCACCGTGACTTTGCGTCCCTGGTAGGACTCGGTGATGCGGACGCCGCTCTTGCTCAGGTCTCTGTGCCTCACGGACAGGCGAGGTCGGGTCTCACCCATCTCGCCGTTGCACATGTCGAAAGCCACGACATCGCCGCCGTCCCTCGCCGCGAAGCCGCACGCGCACGAGGCGGCGTGCACGACGCTGCCGCACTCCCACTGACGGACGTGGACCTCGAACGGCCTTGCGGTGCTCTTGTAAAGGACAAAGGTGCCTACTTGGTAGTTGTCGTAGTGCCTGAACATAAAGAGACGTATTCACAGACGCCGTCCCGCCTTCGTATTGTCACACAAAACTATGTTACAAATCCCTTAATAATTTAATCTAAGTATAGCACATTTTCTGATACGCGTAAAGTATGTTTTCTATTTAACCAAACAAGTACCTGCCATCAAATGTGATGATGTGAGGATCAGTGAAGGAGTAGCAGTAGGCGGAGGGGACATCCTTCACTGTTATCTGGAATGACATTCCTATTTAAATTGTAGTGAAGAACATTCATGTGCTTTAATTAAAGTAACCCACTTCTGCCTCTTTTGTCTTATTTTCATGAGTTCACAAAGTCGCCCCCAAAAAACGTGCAGACTAAGCATCATAACCCTTGATGAGTCAGTGAGGAGGGTTCAACATTTGCCGTGTCCTGCTTTGAAAATAATTGAATAAAATGTTACCAGTTTACCTCAACTGGTTTTGGGGAGTATCCGTTCCAGAGAGAGTTCTGCGTGACGATGGATTTGACGGAGATCTGCGTCGTCCTGTTGCCATCTTTGACAAAGTCGGTGACGGGGCTGAAGTGGATCAGAGCCCGGCTGCAGACCCCGTCCCTGCAGGGGCCCCGGGACAGCTCCACCACGCAGGAGGACAAAGACACATCGGCGCCCAACGAGCCCTCGTCTGTGACATGACGGAGGAGCCAGGCAACTGTAGATACATTTGTGAACTGCACACAGATGTTGACGACGGAGCAGCAAGCGCTCACCTGTGCTGCTTGTGCTGAGCTGCAGAGACAAAGTGCACCGCTCTGTGGACGAGGACGACTCCTGCGGACACGGGACAGGCACTGTGCTCTCAACCAGCAGCTCATACAGCCTCCCATCCTCAGAAACACTGCTCTCCTCTGGTCTTAGCTACACAAAACACACACACACACAGATACATATACATACATTGAGAGACACCATACATGAATATATATATAAAACATCCAGATACTATGATGTACCATAATCCCAGCAAAGAACTCCTGACTTTGCACCGAAGCACCGCGGACATTGGGCGAGTCCAGGAGGAAACTGGAGCTGGAGCAGTAAATCTGAGGAAGGGGAGAGAGAGGAGAGTTTAAATGAAAATTATATATATTGACTTTTTTCAGCTAATATATATGGGCTCTTATTCAATGGCAAATTATGATCAAATATTATTTTTGTTTCATGACAATTTTCAAACTGATATTTTTTTCCATTTTTACACTTTTTTATTTTTATTTCATGATATTTTTATACCTATTATATTTTTTACTTATTTTACTATGTCATTTTTCAACCAAATATTTTTGATTGATTGATTGATTTTTTCAAATTTGATTTTTTTCCTTGACATGTTTACACTTATTTATATATACATTTTTTAAAACTTTTTTGCCATGACATTTTTAGACCAAATATTTTTAGACTTTTAAATAACAATTTCTTACTGGAAAATGTCTTCAAGACTTTTTTATTCCTGACCCTTTTTGACCTAATATTTTTGGGATTTCTTTTCCTTCCATTATTTTTCTTCTTTTCAGACCTTGACATTTTTTCAGCTAAATAAAGAGAGAGGGGAGGGGGGGAGTGAAATTGAGAGAAGGAACAGAAGGAACTCCACAGCAAATAAAAGGAAAACAAATCCTGGCTGCACCGCCGGCAGTAAAACAAAACGGCATGTTGACAGGTTTCAATAATAGCTTCAGTCACAAAATCTTTGATTTACGGAGTCAGTCTTATTTCCTTGAATGATGGAAAGAAAGAAAGAAAAGTCAAGTCAAGTCATTTTATTTTGTATAGCCCATAATCGCAAATTACAAATTTGCCTCAGAGGGCTTTACAGTCTGTACACATACAACATCCTCTGCCCCGAAACCCTCCATCGGCACAGGAAAAACTCCCCAAAAAATGAAAAAACCCTTACAAGAGGGAAAACTATTCTCTTCCTTTTTCTTTCCAGATGTTTGTATCCCGAGGTAGCTATTGCTATTTATTATTATATCATTTTCTCCAACCTGTCTAACATCTTTCAAATTTGAGAATGTTTTCTTTTGGTTCATCCATTTATTTTAATTACGATCATGGCTATAGGTGTAAATTACTCCAAGGTATTTCTATTCCGGTCTAACTTCCCTCATCTCATAACTAAAATCCTGGGATGAGAGTAACCATTCAACCCAATGCAAATAAATTCAGACTGTTAGAAATGAAATACCGTCAACAAAAATGAATAGGATGCTGAAAAATATACCAACTTGTGTTTTTATTTTATTTGAAAGAATTATCTCTGCAGATCAGCAAAAGAAAAGGGAAAAATGCATCCACCTTGTCCCCCAGACGGAGGTTGAAGCCGTCCAGTTCGATGTAGGCGGAGGTCCTGATGGTGGTCTCCTGTTTGAGGTCCTCCTTCCTGCCCTCCAGTGAGAGGCGGGACCAGGCCACCACGTAACCCAGGGAGCCGTTGGAGCTGCTGCCGAAGATGCACTTCAGGTGGACGGAGTCTCCCGTCACCTCCGGGACAATCACCGGCGCAGACGGAGGGGGAGGCCGCTCTGCCGAAAAGAAGGAGTGGCTCTATTAGCGGGAGCCAACACGAGGATATTTGTGCAGTTAATTATCCAATAAGTTATCATCCCAATACAGCTGTTCTGTTTTTGAGCCTTTATTAAAGGGCAGAAATGAAAGTATGCTTTCTTTAATATTTCGTTTGAAAATACACCTGGTCTCCATACACCGTACTTTTGATCTGGAGCTGTTTTTTGCACTTCAAGCAGGCCCTCTTAATTCCAATTAATGGACGTCTTTGTGGTATCAGTTTGTGAAAGGCCCTCTACCCTCACATGACAGTGGTCCTTTGTCCAGAAAGAGCCAGACTTAACGCCATTCAGGTTCAGATATCAAGCATGTAGCGAGTTCTTCCAGGGAGGGAGGAGGCTTTTACAGCAACATATCAAAGCTCATTGTATTGGAAGGAGATGCTCAATTAGAACGTAAGGGTTTACTTTGTCGACTTAGTTGAGGTGTTCATGTATTTTTGGCCTCACTCTGTCAAAGTAATACAACTTTATTTTAAATGAACTTTGTCATGACTGAGAAATGCAGCAATGTGTATGCAGAGGAACCCAGCTTACACTGAGGAACATGAAGTAATGCGTGTTCAGTACGGCCTCCACTTCCAAAGCACAGCAACCTGAATTCTATTATTCAAAGATGTTCTTCAGAGATATTTCCTCTTTCCCTAGTTAAACCTCCCGGCCCCTTTCCGGCCAAGCGGACACCGGTAGTGTGTGTGTGTGGGGGGGGGGGGGGGGGGGGGGGGGGGCACACATGCTCGCCTCATTAAGAGGATGAGGATGCATTCCTGACCACATGGCAACTCCCTGACCTCCCCGATTGTCGCGGTGTTTGACCTGACGCGGGCAGACAGGCGTAAGCTATGAACACAGCAGCGGGGTCCTCACTTTTACACGTCCCATCGGCCCCATCGGGGCCGCATCCCGGCGATGCCGCGGGCGACGCCGCGGGCGACGCCGCGGGCGACGCGTCCGCCATCTCTGTTAGGAGAAACAGGAGAGCAACATAACAAGCAAATGTCATGTGATCTTGTGATCGGCTTGCAATGCAGTGACACTTTTTTTATTCACTAAGCATTCACACTTATTCACTAAGTATTTTTCCAGAAATGTGATTAGGTGGGGGAAATTTTGGCACGTTTACACCTCAGTCTGAGTACTACGGTATGTTCTCGTGACAGCGAAACATCAACAAGCAGATTTGAGCCATTTGTATTTGAGAGCTGAGAGCACTAGAAACACGTTCCGTTTCTTAATCAGTGCAGATTGTATATTAAACTGAAGGTAGCTATGGCAACAGCGCTTTTAGCTGCCATATCATTTAACGCTCAGAAGTCAAACGATGGTAATTGGGTCTGCTATAAAGCTTAATACTTAATAACTCTGTCAAGAAGTGCGATGCATTTTTCATGCCGTATTCTGCTGTATGAATGTGTGAAGCATTATAGTCACAGAGGGTTGAATTATTTTGATGCAAAAGTAGTAGCCTTGGAAAACTAGTTGAATTTTCCATTTGCACGTCATTTAGAAAACAGCTGCCTCTCTGACTTTTTCCATTTGCCTGACGCATTCGTTGACGTGAGGATTATTACAAAAACGGATCTCTTTTGTTCCCGACCCACCCTGAGCGCAGTATCCCATGCATCCCTGCGTGGGCTGCAGCAGGTACACGTAGAAGTCTCCACAGTTGCGCACGGTGACCGGGATGCGGAACATGCAGCATTCTTTGCTGAGGCCCGCGAAGAGCTGCCAGGCGGCGCAGGCCGTCAGCTGCCTCACCTCCAGGGGCCCCGGCAGAGACTCGCCGTCCCCCAGGGACAGCCAGACAGGCGCCTGAGTCCCGCAGTGGTTCACCTGGAGGTTTGCAGGGGGAGAAGAACGACAGGGAAACACCATTTCACTCCGGTTCTTTGGCTCGACTAAGGCTGGTTTCACGCTTTTTTTTTTTCTCAGCGCCTGATCGGAAATTTGTATGAAAAAAACCAAGAAACAATGAGCATTAATTGCCTCTTGCCTTTGAAGATGGGGACCGACGTGCGCAATCACTTTCAGCTCGTGTATCAACAATCTTTCTGTTTGATTTGATTTTGGCAGTGGTGTTTACGAGAGTCCATTCTGACAGTTATTAACAATAACCGGATCAGAACTCAACCGTCTCCTTAATGATGAACTTGTTTAACGATGAAAGCCGTAAAGAGCCAACGGTATCACATGGAGACGGTTTCATCGCCCGGCTAAAACGTCCTCACGTTGACTTTAACGCTCGTTGTCACAGCTCGTTCTTCCTGGTTTGGTGAATCCAGAAAGGTACGCGCCATCGTTACGATATATATTGTGTTACACAGAGCAGCGATGCCCTGGGAAGGAAGAGGGGGCGGGAGGGTTACACTTCAGAGGGATCCGGCAGGCTCCACACAGCAAGACGTCCTCGAGAAATGAGGCCCATTTCTGCTCTCCTCATGCACTCCATCCATCCATCCATTGTCAAACCGCTTATCCTGCACACAGGGTCGCGGGGGGGCTGGAGTCCATCCCAGCCAACTTCGGGCGATAGACAGGGTACACCCTGGATTGGTCGCCAGCCAATCGCAGGGCTACACAGAGACAAACAACCATTCACACTCACATTCACACATCTACGGGCAATTTAAAGTCCCCAATTAACCTGATCCCCAGAGCATGTCTTTGGACTGTGGGAGGAAGCCGGAGAACCCGGAGAGAACCCACGCAGACACGGGGAGAACATGCAGACTCCACACAGAAAGGCCATTGGGCGGAATCGAACCCAGGACCTTCTTGCTGTGAGGCAACAGTGCTAACCACCACGCCACCGTGCCGCCCTCTCCTCATGCACTCTCCTTCATAAATATGTACTCTCACACACACACACACACACGTTTTACGTAAACGTCCACAGATATTACGATTAAAAAATATCTAACATTAATAATAGAGCAACAAATCCTCACCAGATGCTTCTGAAAAGGGTTCGACAGTGATTGGCGTGATCAAATTGAAATGCAGGGTCAGGTGGACTGACCTCTGACCTGATTTTGGAGACTTGTTGCAGAATTCAGCAAATTCAGTTTTAAAAACAGAAATTCCCAAATCACTGAATAGGAAAAGCGGTGCAACCTAAATGCTCTTTGTTAGAAGAATGAGCACATCTTTGCTGCGACTGAGGAGCGGATTTAATTTAATTCATTAATGAGGCTGCACAGTTTATTACAAATTGTATTTCTTCCAAGTCATTCTTCAAAGGTTTTATGTAGCCATTGATGTTTAACCATTTCAGTTAAATGGTAAGCAGATTTCTATTATGGAGCGTATTAAGAGTAACACAGACGGTGTGCCGGTCATTTACCTCCACACAGCGGGTGGGCATGCTGGCCGGCTTGTCAAAGATCTGGAACTGGTACCAGCCCGGAGCGAGGGAGTGGTCGCAGATGAAGTCCTGCAGGGCCGACTGCTGCAGCCAGCTGGAGCTGAAGGTGGTGCTGCGGTAGGGGTCCCGGAGGATGGAGTGGCCGCCAGGCGCACACTCCGCGGGGGGCTCTGCAGGTCCAGCCGGAGAGACGACAGTACCAATGATGGAACACACGGACTGACAAACAGTGAACTGTGGACGGCCTCCGTTTAGCTGGACGATTTTCAACATAAACTACTCAAATTTCAATTTCAAAGCTAAAAAGGTCATGGAGAGTTTGATTTTTATCACTGAGGATGTGAATACAGTTACTGGATATCTTTTTTTTTTTTAAGATAAAATAGATGTGTACAAGTAGAGCTGAACGTAAGGCAGCTAGCTATAAACACACTAGAAAATATTAAGTTAAATATTAAATTAAAAAGCCAGTTAACATATCAGCAATAAAAACATGACATCCTATACCCAAATATATACGGTATATACTTAAACCATCGTCTGAATCAAGTAGAGGTGATTCACCTGGCTCAGGTGAGTTTTCTGGGAAAAATTAAACTGATGATGTCACATACTTTTAACTTAAAAAAATATCAGCAATCAACGTGTTGATTAAAAGCCTTTAAAAAACCTTAAATAAAGAGTGTTTTTTTTTACAGATTTAAAGGAGCCCTGCAGGTTATTGACAGTTATTCAATCATTCAGCCACCCTCCCTATAACCACAGCCTCTGTTAACATTTGGGGGCCTGTCCTCAGGTGTTTATTGTGCCTCCATGTTGGGGACAGTGATGTAAACAAAGGGAACGAGGGCGAGGAAACAGAGTAGGGATTCCTGTCACAGCTTCACCTGATCGTATGGTCTGTGGGACAACAACTCTACTTTTACCTTGAAACCCCAGTAAACATAGTAAACATGAGTTTATGGCCCCAGTCCTGTAAACGCCTGTAAAATGTCTTGTTTGGCATTCGGTTGCCCTTAGTTACACCCTCCCGCGTCACTTTTGGTCGCAAAAAAACTAAGACGGGGACGGACAAAGATAAGAAGAAGATAAAAGCTTTTCCAGAAGTGTGTGACCAGTTGAAACATGACCACATAAGCGTAAACGCCATAAAAGTGAGAGCAGAAGAAAAAGATGTAATGCGTAACCGTGGAGATAGCAGCTGGCTCCTGTGCAGAAAGCTTCAGCCACGTTTTCTGCCCCGACCAGAGAGGTCAAGTGTTAAGTGAAGGGAATTATTATTTATGGGGTTTTCTCTAGCAGGATGTGACCGCTGGAGCTGTAACATACTACATACATGTATCCTCAGTGTATTTTACACGCACAGAACTGTCTAAACGAAAGACGGCCTCTTTATGTTCAGACCTCGCTGGAGTGGAAAGGATCCCTAAACCTGCTACGGAGAAAAGAAAGGTCAAAGGTCAAAGGAGGGGCCCTTAAACACGCTGTTTAAGGCTTCAAGGATCGTTAGAGGGGACAATAAAATAAAACTGGAACATCTTTCAAACCGAGGACGTCAATAAGACCTTCGGATGGAGGGTTTCAATGTGGAACCAGAAGAATCAGATGCTGAGTGTGTTCCTCTTCTGTGTGGTTGGGTTCAAATAACGACGGAAAAATATGGAAAGGCATCATGTGAACGTAAACGTTGCTTTCTTCTGATTATTTAAGGCTGAATGAATGGAGGTTAAAGAAGCAAAGCCAGAGACTTTGTGGCTTTTCAAGGAGGAAACACCAGCCTGTTCTCTGGAAAACTGGAAATTCAGAGGGAGGCTGGAGGTTTAAAGTACGGGACAATAGAAGCCGGAACATGATGGCAAAAGCATATAGGCCACCAAAGCGGGGGCAAAGATGAGGACCCCCCCTCCTAACCTATAAACCAAGACGTCCCCCTGACCACAGAGGTCAAGTGAAAGCTGTCAAAGCCAGCGAGAGACGTCCTTCAAGTCTCAAAACCTCCAACGGTCCAACCCCCATGTCGGGTGAAGAAAGGGAAAAAAAGCCCCCATGGCAGCAGGAATCTGCCCCATGAGACCTGGAAGTATGTCAGCAACATGATGGATGAGACGCTGCCAGCTTCTTTTTGGCAGAGGGACAACAAACCTACAGGAGGACTCTGAGCTCTTAAATATTAGTTTTTAATCACAATGTTTTCTTCTTTAAAAAAAAACAAAAGATTTGTTTAGTCTAACAAGCTGCAGAACAACAGTCCAACTCAACAGTCCGTGATGGGTCAGTGAGTTTACCTGTTTGAGCGCGCATGACGTCAGCGGGGAAAAGCACGACGCACGCGACAAGTTTAAAAACGGCCTCGAGTCTCATCGTTGATCCCGAAAAGTTCCTTTCCGTCCTCTGTCCTCTCTGTCCTCTCCGTCCTCTGTCCTCTCCGTCCGTCGCTTCCTTCTCAGCCGACCCGAAGCCCGAGTGGAGCGGGAGGAAGTGCGGAGGGTCTCGCGGACTGACGCCCCCCCACACGCACACGCACACGCCCCACGGACACCACAAAGATCCTCAGAAACCTCAGAAAACACTGACACCGGAAATGAGTAGTGTACTTATGCACTAAAAATAAAGTACATAAGTACATGTTTTACTTTCATGCTTTCTGGAGGTTGTACTTCTACTGTGAACTAAATACAACAGCTACTCATTAGTTTTTTGACTTACTTATTTGTATGATGTGATGCAGTACTATGCAACTACCACAAGTATCTTAAGATGGTTTCACATTGCTGAAGTACATCTAAAAAGTATTCAATTACTCACATGTGTAAAAGAAGAATAATACTAAAACATTATTTTCACTTTTAATTTCTCAAAAGGAGGACTTCATGATCAAATATCTGCTGAAAAAAGTCCCATCAATTATCTGATGGACAATGTCTGTAAGCTTAAATAAAGCAAAGGGGGGATTTACCATTAAACATAAAAATAAAGGTCACATTGTCAATAACAAAAGGTTCTTTAGATCCTTATTCACTGTAAAAATCACATTGTACATGAGGTAATAATGTCTTTGACGTTCAGGAACACAATGTTTGGTGAAAGATGTATTTACATTTTAACTAAGTGCAAAGCTTACATTTTACATTCCTCATTTTTTAAACAAAAGAGATGAACGAAGGTAAAGCAACACAAACCTAAATGGCTTTGCAGGCGTCTGTTGTCTGCATCCCCTTCAAACGTTACAGCTTCAACACTACGATGTGAATGGACTGATGGTCCATTCATGAAAGCTCACAAGTGACCAGCTAGTTATGTTTTATAAGTCAAGCCTCCAAACCACTAAAACAGCTGGCCCACATGTTACGTTTCTCACAGAGAGTGAGGAGTGGAGCTTTGGATGGGTCCTTTCCAAACGGCTGCTTTCCATTCTCACGCTTTAATAGAGCCGGAGCCCATGACTCTGTCAAACACTTGAGACAGATATCGCTACGGGAGAGCAAATAAGAAACACAGGAAGCAATGGCTCAATTTGTACTGTGAACAAATGTACATTTTGTACGCATTGTGAAAAAGCGTTTTCTTTGTTGCAGTGGCCGGTTCATTCAGGGATGTTAAATTGAAGAATTATTCGACAGCATAAAGTCAAGTATGGAACAGGAATCCAGATTCAACAACTATACTTTTATTAATAATTCATGCATAGCTGAAAATAATGACAAGTAAAGATGTCTTCAGTTTAGTCCTAAACTAAAAGTTATACGGTTCACAACTAAATAAAACCAAAGAAATCAGGAAACATTTTAAGAGCTGCTTCAAGATTGATTGATTTTGCTATTGATTTGCTGTTTTTCATGCAAACTCTCAGCATGATCATGATTTTACAAAAATAGTCATCGATGACTATTTTTGTAAACTGTGAAGTTTCATTAAGACGATATTGTGTGATTTACAACAAATGAACCGTCCGGCACAGTGATTCCTGCAGGGAGAGGCAGCTGTGCAGGTCGAATGAGCGATACAACCCCTCCCTCGTAAATCTCCTGGAATAGCCATCAAGTAAAAATATAAAATAAAATAAAACTTTCTTTCTGTATGCTTTTAGCTCTCAACCGGCCTGCAAAACATGGAAAACATTAGCTTTGAGAGATCGTATGAAGAGTTCATGACATAAATGAGTCGCTAGGAGCAAAACAACAGCGGCAATAAATGGGGATAAATGCCGCATGAGCTCATTCTGGGGGGGGGGGGCTCTCTCATTATACTCAGACGTGGGTAAAATGGTGCCACTGCAGTGGCCCCTGGGAAATGTGATATTGGCTTAGTGACGCAGGAAATGCAGACTCACCTTGTCCTCCACCACTGACACAAAACGATCGCACAACTCATGTACCCACTAAGATATTCCTAAATTCTGAAAGTTTAAACAACAACTTCTCCACCACCTGCAAACAAAACCTCAGTTGAAATGAACATCTCTGCACAGGTCTCTGACTCCCACCCGAGGCCCCTCGTGTTCAGTAAAGGGTGAAGGTGCCTTTTTTTTTAAAGCTCTTTGGAGCGATGGGCTCCCCCCATCGCCCCCGTCAGAAACCCCGTGGAGGAGATGGGATGGATGCGTTAGGCACAGACCGTGTTTCAGGTAACAAAAACACCGTAAAAAGAGGAAACCTTGACTTTGCGACGAGGGACAGTGAGGAGCAGAAATGCTGCCTCATTCCCTCAGGGCTCGTTCCTGCAGCGTGAAAGTGCCTCAGAACTGTGCAGCACTTCAGTCCCGGGAAACGTTCCTAATTGTTCTTTCCGCTGAGTGCGTGTTTCTTCTGTAATCGGCCCCCCTTTGTGCAACGTTACTGTAGACGGGGGGAAAAGTGACCTCAGAGCAGCTGGGTCACAAAACAAGCTATTTCTGCTGCGGCGCAGGTGAATGCTATGCTGCCATCTAGTGGAAAGAAAGTTATATTACATATTATTTCACAGGTGTTTCTGATACACATTGGAGGAATATACTTTCCAACAGTACTGTACTTAAGGACATTTTTGAGGTACTTCTATTTTACTTGAGTTTTTCTCTATTTGTTTGTTTACTTTATACTCCTACTCCACAATATTTCCGAGGGATATATTTTATATTTACACAATTCAGTATGAAAAAGTATAGTCTTTAAAACCAATCATATAGTGAATTTTGTTCTGAATACTTTTTTTGGCCTTATGGAAAGCACCTTGCATTTCAAAGGGTACTTTATGTACATGTGAATCTACAGTTCTTCTCCATATATATTTCCACAGGAATTACATTACATTACAGGTCAGGAAACACAGTTTCGATCCGTGGAATTCTCATCCACGGAAAAACTGAAATTGCCAAATGTCAATTCCCTTTTGACCTCAGAGCAGTAAGTGTCTGCGAACAGGAAGCACGCGTAAAACTTCCTTCTGTTGGTGAAGGCCAAACATCTGTTTAGTTGTAATGTTTAATGTGACCACAAGGTGAAGACGAACACAAGTAAAATATATGTGTTTTTATTTACCACCGATTCCAGCTCAAAAAGGACCTTCCAGACACGGTTACTATGTTTTGATATGATTTCAGGATACAGAAAATAAATATAGAAATTTCTAAAGCATGTGTTAATAATAATAATAAAAACAATTTTTACATTTCGGATCTGCAAAATATTTTTTAAAGCCATTTTCCAACACAGTTCGATTTAATTGTGTTGCAGAGGAAGTTTGGGATTACTTCATAAACAGTTTAAAGGAAAATGTGAAAAGGAGGAAATAATATTGGTATATTCAGAGATTTAAGCGGATGGAGGGAGACATGCGGCAGCGACTGTGAGGTCACAAAGGTCAGCGCAGCACATTACGGAGCCCACTGGTTCTTTGACAGCTGCGTATTCCGTATCTGTAAGAATTACAAACACGTGAAGCCTGCACGTGTTTATAAGCATACCTGAAATAGCTGCACAACAAGTCATCTGTGACTGTGCATAACTCGCAGACTAAATATAAATTGAAAAGAATATCAGTCGCTGCATCAATCCACATGAGCCCTAAACTGCCAAGAGTTTTTCTTAAGTTATCCTTTGTGATCCTCTGCTGTAGCAAAAAATTAGGTGAAAGCTTCTATCCCATGGATGGCTAATAGAGAGGCGAGGGGGGGTCGTCCTGTATAGTAGCATTCAAAGGAAGAAAATCCTTACAGAACAATCAATTTAATCCAAGTCAGTCTAATAAATTCCATATAAAGGAAGCTGTAATGGTCTACTGAAAATAACACTGTGATTGTATCGTTGTATTGTTATTAATGCTTCTGTATTTGTTAAATGTAATACAAAAACAATATATCATCATTTTTGACTAAGGTGCAATAAACACTTCAGCATTAAAAAAATCGGACTTCTCAATAGTATTTAAGTATGCAACGCTTCACAGGGCTATATTTCATTATTATGAACACAAGTCAGACAGAAATGCTTTACTTCTTATCACCTCAGTTTACAATCTGTTATTTAAATCCAGTACGATAAATGATTGATACCCATATTTGAAAAATAAATAAATAAACGGCGTGACGGACGGACGCAACAACAGGTGATCCTGATTCCCGGACGATGACGCTGCGATCGACAGCCGTCTCAGCCAATCAGCGGGCAGAGACCGCGGCGAACGCACCAACCAGCGTGGCGTGTGGGCGTCGATCCGCACCAACGGCCGTGTCGTCGGCGGCGCTGGCGGCGGCGGAGGAGCCACACCGGCACACCGCGGACCGACAGGCAGGTCTCCCCGCTACCGAGGAAAAGGGCTTCCGTCTACCGTCGTTCAGATAAAAACCGTGAGTTCAATTCCAGGCTGTTTGGACCGTCTGTATGTGTGTATATGTGTGTGTTCAGGGAGGGTTAGTTTGCGTGCTTTCTCTCGTATTTTTTTCTCTTTTTGGACCTGCCGCGTTAACACTCGGTAGTCGTCCGTGAACGCGGTGCTGCGTAACGTCCGGATTAAACAGCGAGCCTTCGGAGGCTAAACTCCATGTGTAATCACACTTAAGGGTGTGGGACTATGCTGTAAAATAAGAGTGAAAGACGGGTGGGTGGGGGAGATAGCACACAGGCCCCTGCAGGAATGTCAAGTGTTAACCTGCGAGATGAATTCATTAAACTTGGAACAATATGGTGGCTGTGAGACATTACTTTGGACGTCAGGGGGCTTAAAGCCAATTCATTGTGGAACTTTGTGTGATACGTCCATGGACATGTCGGTACAATGTCATTGTCCCGTCAACATAGATGTAATATATTGCTATTGCGATACGAGTCTCATCGTGCCCTTAAAGGATGTTTTTCTAGCAGGTGACTCACCACACTGGACTTTGACTGGGTCGTAAATGAAGGATTACGCCCGTGTGTGTGTGTGTGTGTGTGTGTGTGTGAGAAACTCATCTGATAGTAAAAGTAAATAAAGCCTAAAAGGCCGACACACTTTCAAAATCAACTCCTTTATAATTCCGTCCTCACTCGTGTATTGTGACATCGACACGATAAACCCACATAAAGCACCTGTCCAGAGGAAACACAGAGGAATGAACAGTACAAAGTACGACAGATTTTCTGTTGCGTCACTTGGACGCCTCGGTTTTGTTGACTCCGCAGCTCTACTTGTGCTTTTGTTCGCCCAATGTTGATGTCTCCAGAGCAACGCACTCGAGAGGATGTGGGAAAGTTAAATCTGCTGTTATCCTGGACTTGCGACGGTGGCTGTTGAGTTAAATTCACCCATTTGAGTCATTTGACTCCAATATAACGTCCCCCTTTTTCCTTTCCAGGAGATCGCCGCAGTCGTTTTGGAACACAAAGCAGCCGCCGGAGCGGAATAGGATCGCGTCTCCCGAAAGCGCCGGTCCTTCCTCCCCCAGGGGGAAAGATGGGGAATGGATTGTCCGAACAACCCGGCCTCTTCTCCAACGGCTCGTTCTTCCAGTCGTTTCACATCGCCATCCTGGGCCTGGACTCGGCGGGGAAGACCACCGTCCTCTACAGGCTGCAGTTCAACGAGTTCGTGAACACGGTGCCCACCAGAGGCTTCAACGCCGAGAAGGTGAAAGTGTCTCTGGGCGGCCGCCGCACGGTCACCTTCCACTTCTGGGACGTGGGCGGCCAGGAGAAGCTCCGCCCCCTCTGGAAGTCGTACACGCGGCGCACGGACGGCATCGTCTTCGTGGTGGACTCCGTGGACGCGGAGCGCATGGAGGAGGCCAAGACGGAGCTCCACAAAATCGCCAAGACCTCCGAAAACCAGGGGGTGCCCGTGCTGGTGGTGGCCAACAAACAGGACCTGAGGAACTCTTTGGGGCTGGCGGAGATCGAGAAGCTGCTGGCGCTGAAAGAACTGGGCCCCGCGACCCCCTGGCACCTGCAGGCGACCTGCGCCATCATCGGCGACGGGCTCCGGGAGGGCCTGGACCGGCTCCACGACATGATCCTGAAGAGGAGGAGGGCGCTGCGGCAGCAGAGCAAGAAGAGATAGTCGAGGGTCTTCGTTGATGAAGACCCTCTGGATGTTACATGTGAAGGACGCTCTCTCCCGGGTGGATTACTGACGCATGCTGAGTTTTATCAGTCCGGCTCGGGTTCTCGTGGCGATCAGGAAGTGACGGTTGAAGGAATACAGTACGAAGATGCGAGAGGTTGGGACGTGTGTCGTTGTGCGATGAAGAGTTTCACGTGGATTACAAGGCGGCGCGGAGGGGTTCGGCGTGCGGAAGGGCGAGAGAAGTGAAGGATGTTTCACGAACGGCTGTTCCAAACAACATTACCAAAAAGTGATTTAAGAAGACTGGTTGACGGTTTATTTGGTAAATGAGTGAATGTTGTCACACCCGAGGAGCAACTACTACATTCTTTTTAATTTCACAGTGTCGTACTTTATTATGTCCATTTTTTTACACTGGACTTTCTCCTTGAAAGAAAAGTATTATCGTATTACTTCCCATTTGCTTGCTGTCTTATCAAATCTGTTTTGAAAGCACTTTAGAAAATCTCTTCTTATGAAGTTTACAGTTTCTAAATAGAGCGTGTTGGATTTTACAGAAATATTTGGGCAAAATAGAACAGTTGCTACTGAAGTTGGCCACATGTCATTAGACAGGTTATGCCTAATAAAACATATTTCGCAATGTCGACAGTGGTACGCAGAGTGTTTATTATTTCCGCTTTGCTCAAGGGTTTGTGTTTCCTCAGAGCTGCTCACGTTATCCGGAGCTTTGAGAGGGACGTCTGTCCATTTGTCTGACCACAGAACCAGTCCTCCCGCCACTTGTCAACGTGACACAAGCGCTTCCCGAAACCAAGGCCGACACAGTGCTCCAGTTATCACTTTGAAAAACAAATGTCCTCGCTTTCGTTTCACGCCGACTTGCACAATGGCCTTCTGTTTGGCCCACGCCCAAAACCAGGAGGTTTAAGCTGCACATCGATGAACACCGATGCAAAGAAAGCAAATGTTCCAGAGCTCTGCGTGGTTCCGCCTCTCTGCTGCGGCGGCGGCGGTGGCGGCGGGGAGGGTTAAGAGGAGCAGCGGAGCGGGACGGAGAGGCCGTCATCGGGTCTAGAAAATGTAGTCGGGGCGGTCTGGAAGGCCCCGATCCGGTGCAACGGGACTCGCTCGGCGAGTATATTTCTGGACCGAGCCGGGGTGGAAATGCGGCCCGGTGCATTAACGCCATTCGCCGCCCACTCCATTCCTTTACGAACAATTAAATATGTGTGCAGCCCGACAGCTGACTCGTCGAGAAAAACTCTGCACGCCGGGTCACCAAACAGGCTCCGCTAACCGCACAAATACCCGCCCTAGATGTGATGATTGTGACCTTGATGTGAGGTTTTTATGCCGTGTCTCCAGGGGAGGGGAGGGGAGGGGGGGGCTGTTTCGTTTGAAAATAGAAACCATGCGTCATTAGCGTTCATTTTCACACATTTGACTTTAAAGCTACTGCAGGACTTGACTGGATGTTTTGTGGCTATTGTGACTTTTTTTTCGATAGTTCCAGGCAGAGCGAGTGTGGGGGGGGGGGTTATGAGTTATGGCGAGAGAGTGAGGAAGATGACACTGATGTGTCCCAGCTGGATATTTGAACCCACAATGCCCCATTTTTGTCAAAAGTTGATGAATCGTGTGTGTGTGGGAGGGGCGGGGGGGGGGTCCAGGTGCCTCTTCCCGACTTGTTTGCCAAGGAAGGAAACTCAAAGGCACATTCTCACTTTTCCAGATTTTACTTCCTTTTCCTCAGAAAGCCACGACAGCTGTGTGTGTGTGTGTGTGTGTGTGTGTGTGTGTGTGTGTGTGTGTCAATTAATAGGTCATTTCCTGCTCCACCTTGTTAGTACTCTGGGCCGTTTCTCTTCCTCTACTCAGACACTCTCTGGGGGACTCGTGTTTGTTTTTGACTCGCTAAATCCAAAAAGCATGTTACCGGCTTTTCTCTGACAGTTTCATATGTTTAAAAACCACCACCATCCCGTCCCTGGCTCCTCCACCCTCTTGTCCTGCGTGCACAAAGGGCTCCCTCGCGTCCAAACTGAAAGGTGCGTTTGGGGGCCCTGACCCGTGTCTTACTTGGAGGAACTCGGTGCTGTTACAGCGTGCTGCGCTGGGGATGCGCCTCAGGCAGGATCGGGTTTGGCAGCTATTATCCAGGTTGGGCTGAACACTGTACAAAATGTTCCACGTTGTTGCGGAGGAACGCCGTCGCTCTGCAGAGAGGATTCTTTTCTCCCCCCTCACGCTGTAAATCCACCACGTCGGACTTTTAATGATCTCCTCAGTGATCGTCGGCATGGAGACACCCTTGAAACACACTCGGCGCGCTGCAGGAACACAACTTATTTTGCCTGGCGGGTAACTCTTAAGATGCCAATTTTTATGTCTTAATTATTTCAACTGAAATATGAAAACTTTTGCTAAATTGCCTCTAATTTCAATAAATTATTATTATTTTTTTTAAAGGTCCATATCAGCATCTGCAGCTGTGCAATAGAGGAAATACCTTACGATGTTGTATTTTTTGGTGAGTCAGGAGTTAGAAAGCCACTTTGCACAGATGTCATGTTGGGAACTGCAACTAATAGTGACTCAGCGAGTTAAAACAACGTATCCCATGAGAGCTGAGGTCTTTTGCTGAAATAATATTTTCATACAAGGACCACAACGACAAAGGGGTTAAGCAAAGAATGATTTGTGGCTTTTGGCTCCATGAGATGCTTTGAAGTAAGTGATCCTTGCTGGTGTTCAACTGAGCAGGAGATGAAAGGGAAGCTGAACTGGAGCGCATGTGGGTGTGCGTGCAAGGTGATGTGTAATGGCCTTTTCTTAACCTTGACCACGGGACTAGTCTGTTCACACTTAAATGCATGCTCAGACGCTAGGATTCTCTGAATCTTTTCTTTGGGAGCTTCTAGGCATGTTCGGGCGTAAAGGGAGGTGTATTCAAAAATGGATTCCATAGAACTCGTCGCTGTGACACAGAAATGTTGCGTCAAATTGCACAACACCCCCCGTAAATCCACCTCCAGAGAATTCTCCTGTTGGGCTGAGATTGTAGATTAATCCCACCGTGTACTTTAAAAGAAGACATCGCGATATTAGGCAAGACCTGTTTACTATGCAAGGTTATCATGACAGGACTCATTTTTCTTCCCCGAGTCTATTGAGAGCGAGTGGCCTATTTACATGTGAATTCCTCCCTGTGGCCCTGCAGCTTCACTCAAAGCAGCGAACGGGGCCACCTGCAAGGGGAGAGGGAGGAGGAGGGAGACGCTGTTTGCGGAGCTAGAGAAGTGCACTCCAGTTTCCTTTGGTGCAGAGAAGAGAAGCTGGTTTCATTAATCCCTCAGGGTCCATGGAGACAAAGAGTGAGCTGAGGCAACAGCAACACGGGCCAAAAATCGGAGTACTGATCCTCCATCAGCTGCCGGTGCTGCAACAAGACACGTTTTCCACTCGGGATTTCATGTTCTGGCCGTGATATTTCAAAAACAGGACAATTAGGACAGTTTTTCCCCATTTTACACAAATAATGTCTAATTATGAAACATTACACGTGAGGATGTAAACTCCTGTGTAAGAGGGATTGTTAGTGCACTTTCTATCTGCTGCAGTTCTATGACTCTGTTTAGCCTGCACACAGCAGCGCATGCTAAATGGTTAGCACTGCCGCTTTGTCAAAATCCCCCAAAACCCGTTATCTCGAGGCCTATTTTCAAGCCGGGGGGGGTCGGGGAGGTGCCGGCATCACAGATCGAACACCCCCCAGTCATCGCCACTGTTACAGACGGATTCGGTCCAGAACAACAAGCTCACATGTTGACAGATTCAGTGTTTTTGTGGTGTTAGCCTGGAAACTATTAAGTCATTGAGCAGTGTGATGTTTTTTTGTAAGTAATGATACAAAACCAGTGTTTTTTACGTAGAAAGATCCCTGTGCCACACTCCGTTAAAAAAATTAATTCATACATAATACATTTATCAGCAATTTAAATGTTGCTGATAAATGTGGCATGCAGTTATCACACCAGTCAGGAATTAGTTTTTTTGAAACCTCTGTTTCAGCTACAGGTTTGTTTCAAGTGATGTAAACTAAAACCTTAATGTCTTAAGCTTCAGAGACATTCTTCCTCACTATTGGATTGCCAGTTTCCTGAGTTGATCAAAATGTACTTACGGTTTTATTTACATCACTTGAAACAAACCTGTTTATTCAATATGTGCCGCGACTATATCTGATGTCTTCAGAGCGGTCGAAAAAATGGCCGTGACGGAGAGGAAGGAGCAGGTGACAACAATCAATCAAATACCCTCCAAGGTATTCAATATAGGAAATGCAATCTCTTTATTTTGCATAACAATCACAGGGAGCATATGAAGAACCGATCTGTGTCAACAGAGACTGGGAGTTAGCGTCTACGCGTTGTAGGCTAAGATTTAGGCTGCAAAAACCGAAGGTGCTCTCAAAAGCGTTACTATACACCTAAACTAACGAACACCTGTTAAACAGGGAACCATTCAAAAGATTAAATATTGCATTCATGCACACCATTAGAACGTTACGGTCAAGGGTTGACGTCTGATGACTTCTGGGTTGTATTGGCCGTACAGTTAATATAAGTTTATGTCTGCAAAGCCCAGTTTATGGTTCCATTCACAAGTTTGTGGATTTGAGTAGCAAAGGCCCTCTCTAATCTCCTGTGAGAACCTGCAGGCCCATTAAACATTACAAATTGTAGCAACGACGCACCGAAACTTGATAAAACCGTTCGGGCCTCAAGCAAAAGCAGGAATTTGCAGTCGCTTTGACAACCTGCACAGCGAAGTGTTGTCATATTGAAACTGCAACAGTACTCCCGCGACGGGACAGTGCTCATGCGGTGACATTCCTCTGCTCAGCCTGTGTGAAAGACTCATTGTCCACGTGACGATTGCTCCTTGACCTCTAAGAGAAGCGTGACCGTCTGCAGCTGGAGCGAGGACGGCAAAACCTCCCCAAATGATGGTCGAATGGCTTTTTGCATTCTCTCTATTCCATGTTGACCTTGAACTCCTGCGCCACTCGTCATCCACAGCGCAGCCATGTCCAGACACAAATCAGCTCCACAAAAGAGCCGCGTCCCGACCGGCTATTGTGAGGCAGGAGGCTGTGAAATCTGCCTTTGCTGTTGTTTGGGCATGAGGGATTACGGCGGGTTTAGGCTGCGGTCTCCAAAGCTTTATATGCAGGAAAGTCAGGGCGAAAGCAGCAAGCTCGGTTGAGTTTCATCATTCAACAAATAAGAGCCCCCCCCCAAAAAAGAATTTGATTCTTTGTTTTAGAGCTTTGTGCAAGTTATTTGCATGAACAATACAATTGCAACGAGAACAAAGCAAAAGCCTTGATCAGATATAAAGGCCATGATGAGAAGTTGAAAGATCCACCGACTGTTTGAATGTGGAATCTGCAACGTATTTAAATATACCAGGTTTTAAGTTGAAATCAACGCATCTTCTGCAGGTTGAAGCTGCCAGAGGCCTCGGAGTGGAGAAAGGCGCAGGCCGGTTGCTTCGTGGAGACGCTGTGCCCTCATCTTGAGAATTCAAATTCAAATCAGATACAGTCTGTGGTTCACCTAAACGGCTATAAATAAAAACG